TTCTAACAAACCGCATTTGCATTGCAGTGTTTTCTTTTATGTGGCAAAACTTGACTGGATATTTCCAAAGCCATTTTGATCCCCTGCGGCATATATTGTTTGTTCTATCTTGTGCTCTGTGCGTTTAAATTGTTCAGCTGACCTTCACTTGTCTTCGTCCTGCACAAGTTAGAAATGTTGGCTTTCAAACTAGTAATTTTCAGAGGAATTGTATTGGAGAAAATCTTACCATCAGCACACTCATAAACAAATACTATTCAAATCATCAATTTTAACCTTTATCTCATATTCATGCTTTTCTCAAAAAAAATGAAAGCTGGCCAATTCTTAACATAAAGACCCAACGTACCAACAACAAGGTGAGAGGAAACAGTGCAACGTTTTACCTAAACAATCCTTTTTTAAAAGGATTGCTGAGGGGAAGCTTGAGTGTGGTTTGAGGCCAAGTTTCATGTATAAGCAGGGCTCGAGGCCAGCACTGGCGTGGAGCCCAATGCCCCCAGCAGCATCCAGATCCAGCGTGGGGACCCGAGCCCCACCCACCGGTTGGAGCCAACGTGGAATTCGCCGCCTCGGCCATTGCTGACTTTCCTGGTCAACATCCAACCAGAGACCAGCTGCCGCATGACTTCACATCCGCCCGCCACCTTTGAATCCCTCTGCCTGGTCTCAATGGGGCTATAAGATTGTCCCCCTCTCCCCATGATGATCCACACCAGCGGGCTACCATGCCTCGCTGACACCGCCCCCAAACCCCCCCCCCCATTCCCTCTTAGTCTCGGCGTGCGCATTTTGGCTGCCGCCACCGACTTGAGCTGCTTCCCCAAAATACTTCCAGCCCCGTCCTCTGCCTTCCATTACTTCCGCTCGGTCCTTCTCCTACCGCCCTCCCCATCTCCTACCGTCCCATAGCCTCTCTCTTCTCCAGCCTGCAAATCCTCCGTCAGGCCCAACGTAGCAGATGCTGGCTGTCCAACAGCAGCAACTCTGACTGCCCTATTCTCCATTCTCGCCGCAAGGCCATTTGGGCCATGCACGGGGGCCAATCTCTCCTCCCTCATCCACATTCCGGCCCTCGCTGTCAGTCCTCCTCATCCTACCCCCCACATTCCGCCACCAACTATCCCCTCCGCACCAGCCTACAAAATGTCCGCTCCATCTTCAATAAAACACTCACCATCCAAGATCTCATTGTCGACAAAAACATTGACATTCTCGCCCTCACTGAAACCTGGATCACTCCAGGTGCCACCTTGACCCTAATAGAGGCCACACCACCCGGCTACACCTCCCATGATACCTGACGATCTAACCGCCGTGGTGGCGGTGTGGCTTTCATCTCCCAGCCCCCGCTCAGCCTATCCCTTTTTCACTTCTTTGAGCACCTTATCCTTTATCACTCCTCAAACCTTTCCCTCAAAATTCTCCTTATCTATTGGCCCCCAAGCCCTCCCCCACCTTCCTCCCCGACATCTCCATCCTCCTATCTTCCCTCTTCCTCTGCTCCAAACGTCTCCTCATCCTAGGTGACTGCAACCTTCACTTCACCCACCCCTGCTCTACCTCTGCTGACTTCTCCTCCCTTATCTCCTCCCTCAACCTCTCCCTCCACATCCACTCCTTCACCCATGACCCATCTCTGCTCTCAAACTACCGCCTCATCTCCAACCTCCCTTTCTTCTCCAAATTCCTGGAATGAGTTGCTGTCTCCCAGCTTTGCTCCTTCCTCATCCGTCACTCCCTTCATGAACCCCTCCATTCGGGTTTCTGTGCCACCCAAACACAGAAACAGCCCTGGTCAAAGAGACAAATGACATTCTGTCCATCTGCAACCAGGGCTCCCTCTGCGTCCTCGTCCTCCTTGACCTCTTTACTGCCTTTAACACCGTCGACCACTCTATCTTCATCCACCGCCTCTCTACTCACTTCAAACTTCATAGCTCTGACCGTAACTGGTTCAAATCGAATCTCTCACACTGCCTCCACTTCATCTCCATAAACGGTTTCCAAATGTATTTGGATGGCACAGAACTGTACCTCTCTGGCTCCATCCTGGACTCCTGAACTGCTTCCTGACAGAATGTCTGTCAGACATCAAGTCCTGGATGAGAGTTAAGTTATGCCTAGGTTCCGGACTGGCTCAGTGAGGTAGAGTGTGCATCCGTGGATGGTGATGCTGCCAGTGCCTGAGGTTTGGAGGCACTGATGGGAGCCAATCACTAAGGCCTCTGTCTTATTGATGTTCAGCTGTAGAAAGTTAGCTCTCGTCCAGGACTTGATGTCTGACAGACATTTTGTGGCCCTGGAGTCGAGGGTGGAGGCAGAGAGATAGAGTTGGGTGTCATCCGCATACATGTGGAAGTTGACCCAATGTTGCGGATGATGTTACCAAGAGGGAGCATGTGCAGGTTGAAAGGAGAGGACCAAGGACAGATAGATTCCAGAGGAACACCGTATGAAACAGTGCGGGGGCTGGAGGAAAATTTGTTTGCTGAGACAAAAATTAATATTACTATATATTGTAAGGTGGATTGACTGTATTTTGCGGGTGAAAAGTAGCAGCCAATTGTTCACAGCAGTGTCCCACAAACAGTCGTGGGTTGAGTGACCAAATTAGTATTATAATCATTTATTTTTGTGGAGAGAGATTACTACCCCAAATAAACAATCGACTAACATAGATATTTAGCTGTAAGTTCCTACTTACAGCTAAATATCTATGTAAACAGACTTGTGTGGAATAAGGAAACTTGCCTAGGGTTTCACCCCGTCCACATGTGATGCGAGTGCTGTATCCAATACATTATGGGACTCATTAGTTCGACTCCCAACCATTACCCTAACGCTCCCCAAGCCTTATTAATAATAATAATCCTTGCATTTGATACAGCGCCTTATCACATAGTTGAGACGTCTCAAAGCACTTCACAGGATACACTGTAAAGTGGATCGACTGTATTTTGTGGGTGAAACACAAATAAATAGCAAGAATTTTACATTTCACCCAACGATTCTCCTTTGGGGAGGGTAAGAGGGGTCTCCTTGGAGCTGAATGTCCCTGAAGTGAAATTGTTGGATATCGCATTGTCAGAATCGAGCCAGCCCTCTGTGCCAGTTTCTAGTCCGGTTCCTGAGCCAGACGGGTCCACAGTACTCCAGGGCACTGCTGATAACAGCACAGCCAGCCTGGCTCATGGTCAGCAGGACTTGAAAAGGTAGATCAGTCTCTGGGGGCAAGGAATCCTCCCACTCAGCTCCTATAAGCCCTAAATGGTAGGGTGGTCATAGCTGGAAAAGTAGCGAGAAAGCTTGCCAGACAGTGCTCTCAATGGCACTCTGTGAGCTTTATTAAATAGTTAAATGTGAGATTGTTATTTCCATCTTCTACCGTTCAGATGATGAACCAGGTGGCACGAGAGCTTGCCACGTACATTTCTACATGACAAGTCTCAGTCTTATCTGTATCAATGGGAGGAGAAAGAGAAGAGTAGAACAGAGGCTACAAATGATCCCAGACAGCCTCACAGAAGGCAAAACAGAACAGAGATCTGGGAGCAACTAACTTTCGTGCTTTCTTAACCTGGGAAGGTTAACTGGAGAAGACCAAATGAGAAGAACTTCAGCATAAAAACTAAAGATATCCACAAAATATTTTGGTATTGTTTAAAACAGGCTTTATCTCATTATCACAAAAATATGTGACATCACCCTCAGAAGGATGCTGGCCAAACAGAATGAGCTGGGGCAATCGAAGGTGGATGCACGAGCATATTGCAGCGTGCTGAAGCAATGGAAAATGTTTTGAATTCCTCTGCCCCTGTTTACCTGGAAATGCTATCAGTTATAGGCTACTGCGGCGGTGGCTATAATTGATGGTACTGTGGGACAGGTTTTGTTGATTGACCATCGATGCTGGCTATGCAGGCATGTGCCCTCGAGTGATAATGTTACTGCTTAGCAAAGACAAAAAGATCACTTCTCTAGCTTTTTATACTTGATTTTTTGTTTGCAACTTAGATAAGGTTAATAGAGCCTTAAAGAGGGATATCTATCATCAGTTCACTTTAACATCCTTTTGGTATCTTTTTGTCTTTTGATCCGTTTGATCCGTTTGAATGTTTTATTTAAAAAGAGAGCCGAAATGATGTTAGTAAAAGAAAGTGGCCTTTCTCCTAGTTTATGTTTACCATACTGGCTCCATTTATGCCACTCTTTGGATACTTTCATAAAACCCAACCTGAACCCGTATGAAAACAAACAGCCCATTCTCTTAATTTATTTTAAGGCAGAAGACCATTATTGCATTGAGCCCACTTCACTAAAAATTGTGGCCAGTCTTTTGGTTATGTCCAATTTATTTCAAGGTTTTAAAACTGCATGTTTCAGTAATGGCGTTGTTTGGTGTATTGTGACAAATAGCTACTGTTGAGAAGAGCCTTTTTAAACTGAGAATGTAATTGTCGGGTTGAGTTTTGTTAGGTTTTTTATGTGAAGTGGGATATCCCAGTTGGACATGACTGAGCTTTGAGGTTGGTGAGACTTCATAGAATTAACAAGTGCCAAAAATGAAACCTTGAGTAGAAGTGTAATGGTGGGAGGAGGAATGTTTGTTGTTTCAGTTATGATTGCACCCTTCATTGTTTTGAAGTAATTGTGTTTCTTTTTCATGTTGTCGTGCTCTGATGATGTTGCTGGCTTTGTACAGTGGGTGGGATGCACTGTGTCTGTTGTGATCTGGTTGTTGTCTTTCCTTATTTCTTCGGGTGTTTTTCTTTTGTGTGTTTCAATATTTTTCTGATCGTGTCAATAATTCAGCATTTTGATTCACTTTTATTTGCCTGCATTGCAAGTTGTTTCTTCCCTCTTTGCCTTGCTTTATTGGTGATCATCGTTGTGGTGGAAGCTCCCAGCTTTGCTTGTTGTAATGGTGACGGACACTTCTGCTAGGATGATTTCTCCACTTTGTAATGGCTTATCCTTTCCCTTTGTTTCCTCTTCAGAATGTCCAGTCACTTTTAGAACTGAACCAGAACCGCAGTAAACTGAAGCTATATATCGGACACCTCACATCTCTATGTCAGGATCGCGACTCACAGATTCTCCAAGGACTAACTCCACCCCCGGCATATGATCTCGACGATGATAGGGCAGCATGGGAGGAAGAGCTGCAGAAGATGAGCTCAGAACAGGTACGATTCTTTAAACCATGTTTCACTAAAGAGAGTACACTGTAGATTATCATGTCTTTGGTGCATCTCTGTTGTAGTAGCCCACAAAATCCCAAGCCCAATTGATGTCATCTTCCCAGAATATCCACTCTCCCATTACATTAGAATGGAGTTTCTCCCGGAGTCCTGGCCAACAATCCGCCAATAAAAAATAATTTGATATTCACTCCATGGCTGTTTGTGGGACATTGCTGTGCACAGCTTGACTGCCGTGTTTGCCCATAAAACATAGATTTGCTGCAATTTACAGTAAACCTTGTGTAGGGCTTTGGGACCTCCTTCCCTATTGTAAGAAGTATTATTTTTATTGCAGTATCGAAGCTGTTTCCTAAATGAGTCCCAAATCCTGGTCTTTTCTACCCTTTCTATCTATTGATTTTCCTCCAAGTGTCTAACCTACATTTTTCCTCCATAACCCCTGGTCCTGAGTAGAGGAGGGGAATATTTAGGGCAGACACGATGAAGTATTTCTTGGAGGAAAATACAACAAATATTGTAGTTCATATTTGTCGGGGTATATCTGCATATCTATACCTTAGTATGTTGTTGTATGTTTACTTTCTATTCCCAACTAAGCATCTTGTATACCTCTAGCGGTTTTCATCTGATTATCTCTTTTCAAGGCTGAAGAGACCTAGCTTATATCTCAAAGCTCTCAACACTGGAGATTATGCTTGTTGCACTCCTTTGCATTGTGACTATTGCCAAACAGAGCTCTTGTGTCAGTGGGAATCAGGATGGTAATTAAAATAGTGTTATTTTATGAATCGTTTTACTGCCAGGACTGTATGATGTGAGCTTCCGACAGGTGTAATGAAGACTGAAAAGTGTCCAATGTTTTTCTTGTCCCTGCATTTACACTCCCAACTTGTACAGCAGTTACCTCATTATCCCATTCAATGAGTTCTAAGCTGCCCAAGACACCAGTGGAAGGGGGTGGGAGGTGCTTCCCTGGACAGAAAAGAGGAGGAGCAAGGCAACTTCTGATGGTCAACTACGCACAAGACCACGAGGTTCAGAGGCCTTTGGTTCCATTTGATCTCATACTTCCAGAATAACCACCAACCATCCTTCCAGTGTAACATCAGGATTTTTTTTTAAGCACCTTTCTTTAAAAGTATCTGTCTTGAAATTGCCCTTTGCATTCATCAAAATTAGTGTTTCTGTTTTGCTGCCTTACCATATCTGAAATTATTATTCTGGATTCACTTTCTCAATCCCTTTTAAAATCTACTGTGCAGACTGGGGAGGCCTTTGAGCCTGGGAATAGAATATTACACTGGGAGATATTTTTCAAAAAAATGTTTGTTTTTATTATTGATTTTAACATTGTCTGGTAGAACTTTGTGGTCAATTGATGGAATATACATGGCAAAGGAAACATAATGTCAGATAGTTGATTCACATTTGTTTCTATTTCATTCATCAAATTCAGTCAGAAAAATCCTTTCTTTTTGGGGGGAAAGAAAATTGGTCAAATCAGCCATCCGGAAACAATTTTAACTCTTTTAATAAAGGGCAACATCATATCCACTCGCCTAGATTTTCACTGTATTTCATTAACCAAAAAAGCGAGGAATAAAATGACAATTTCTGCACATATATAATTTAATTGTATTCTTTGATAAGAATTTAACTTTTAGTGATTCCAAGAGAAATTCCATATCTATCACTGCATAGTTTCATTACCATGGCTATCTGTGTTGACTTGTAGAAACTTTTATCATGAGGGTAAGATGACAGTTTCCATATCAAAGAGCAGCAAATATTTCTTTCATGTTGTATTTCACATGTCATTTGCGTTTTCAGAGAATTGCATTAATATTTCATAAGGAAACAACTCCAGGTTCTTAGAATGTAGATTAACATTGCAAAAATCACATTGCTCAAGATATGAGTCGGCACAGTATTTTGCAATAGAAACCGAATTAATGCTTGGGTTTGCTTCTTTGGTCCAATATGCTGATTGCTCATCTATTGGTAAGTGCCCGTCAGAAAAAGAGCAAAAATCAGAGATAGAATTACTCCCCAGATCATAAATTTACTCAGTATTTACAGGATATGCACATCATTGACTTTACCATTGTGCTTTAGAGTGCTTAACTTCAAACTAGTTACTGAAGCTGTCACTTTGAGGTTTGTTAGCTTTCAGTATTCTGTAACCTGGCCATATTGTTAAAAAAAACATTGTTTTGCTGCCAAAAATAAGGAGACAACTTAGGAAGTCCTTAAATTGAGCTTAGACCAATTTTTGGAAAACATCTCCTTGATTGGTTCTAATATGGAAGCGGATTTGGATGGTGCTGTGTTCTTTTCTATAGTTGTGAATTCAGACTGTACACCAACAACAACTTGCATTTATATAGCCCCTTCATGCAGGATGGCGTTTCAGAGCACTTAACAGTGGCGGAGCCCGATGCCAAACCAGGGGGAGGGGGAAGGTGACCGTAGCCACGGTCGAAGAGGAAGGTCTTCAAGCGCGACCTGTAAATGGGGAGAGAGGGGGCAGGGTGAAGGGATTGAGGGAGAGAGTTCCACAGATTTGGGGCATTGTGGCTGAAAGCATGGCCACTGATGGTGGGGCAGAGGGTCTATGACAGTATGAAGTAAAAGTATTCTTTTCTCATTAGTTTCATTTTTTACATTTGTTTAACTTAAAAAGTAGAATTCTTTTTGTCCAAAATCATGGGTTTGATGTCTGATCATTTAATGCCATTTGATCACCAGACTAAATTCCTAGAAACAATCTGATTGTATACCTCTCTTCCTCTCCCGTTTAATGGTGTCCCTAATGGGTGACCAACTTCAGTTTGCACTCACATTGAAAGACTTTGCCTTTCAATCTCGCTGGATATTCTGGCAATCCTGTACACGTAGAGGATACGTGACAAACTGTTGTTTGTTGTGTCTACAGATGTGTTAATGCATGACAAGGATTGCTTTAGGCAAAAAAAACCACAGCGTAATTGCACTTGCAGGTCATGAAGCCTGTGTCACAAATGATTTGTTTTCCTATAAATCACTTCTGTTGGTTTGCAGCCGTGCTCTTGGTTTCATAACAATTGAGAACAGCAATAAGGTTCTTATTTCACAGGTGTAACGCCACAATGCCGAAGTAAACAACAATAACAAATTGCATTTATATGGCCGCTTTCACATCAGGAGGATGTCCCAAGGCCCTGGACAGTGACAGTTTTCACCCGAGCTGGGGTTTGGTTAAGAGAGGTGGAGGAGATGGGACATTAGCCGAAGGCACGATCAAAGAGCGAGGTTGGGAATGAGGCAGAGGGATGCCGGGATGGAGTTCCAGAGGGTAGAGGCAAAAAGGATGAAGGCCCACCTGCCGATCGTGGAGCGGGCAGGACCTGCCGAGCAGAGGGAGTGGAAAGGTTTGTAAAGTTTTAGAAGCTCACAGAGATGGGGAGGAGCAAGGCCGTGGAAGGCTTCAAAGGTCAGCACTGGGATCTGGAACTCGATCCTCTGGGGGCTGGGGAGCCAGTGAAGTCGGGTGAGGATGGGGGCGATCGGCTCACAGAGCTTAAATGTATGTCCTCCAGGCTACCTAAGTGCTTAGTGCAACTAATTATATGACTGCTCCTAAACTCTTGTTGCTCAACTTTATGAACCCTAGTAAAAGGTGGTGCCGCAAATAGCCTCAGCTGATTTTTCAGGTGTCCCTAGATTTTGAGAAAAATGCATTGAATTTGGCATTCTCACAGCCTCCCTCACACCCTCCCTGCTGCCCCGCCCTCTCCCTACTGCCCCTCCCTCTCCCTACTGCCCCTCCCTCTTCCTGCTGCCCCTCCCCTGCACCTCATTGCCGACCCTCCCCCTTCCTGCTGCCCCTCCCTCTCCCTGATGCCCCGCCCCCTGTACCTCACTGAGGAAAGATCAGAGTATATTTGCCAATGCATTGTGTGTACCTGATTTGCATACTGTTTGCATACAGTAAAGGAGGGTTAGAAAACCTCAGAAGCATTGCACCTAAAGGCGAGAGAGAAAATAGTGGGTTTCGAAAGTGGAGAAACCCACCCATCTGTGGATGAGAGGGAAGGCATTTGGGATTTTTGGATTTGATTGGGTGGCTGGATGGATATAATGCAGGAACCCAACACCCACCAAGCACAGCTTGCTGCTTCTGAACTCCACAAATCTGCTTGCTCCATGGCAACTGTCTTGCTTAACAAATCAGAAGAAAAGTTTCTGGTGCCTTTCATTTTGGGCAAGGGAGGGAACCACCTGAACACCCTTTCAAACTTCTTTTCCTTTCCATTGGAAGCCATATAAATGTTATAAAGAGATTATATATCACAGCCCACAGTTTGATAATTATAATATTCCCATTTAGCACGTTGATTCCAACATGAGTTCGTCTAGTCAGATTTTTCTGTGTATATTAAACATAAAATTAAAAATTTTAGAAATTAAAACTTGATTCATGTAGAATTATGGGTGCAAATCCATGTCTTACTACTTCATAATGCTACATATTGGAACACCAAAATAATTTGTCAAGGAGAGCTCCTCCCTTATTACCTTATTACTCTCTTCAAACTTCACCTTCTGCATTTTTATGTCACTGTCCAGATATCTATTTTCTTTTTTAAAAATGGCAGTTTTTTGATTATTCACTAACTTTCAAAGCCTTTTTAACTAATCCTTAATTTACTGCTGACATGTAACATTCAATAATGATTGACAGTTTCAATGCAAAGTGCAGCTCTGGTCTGTAAGCTGCAGCTCTATCCATGGTATCATGGAACCTGCCGGTTTAAATTCAAGTCCGTGCTGAGTTTGATGGTCTTAGCGGAGGTTGCATAGGGAACCTGGCTCAATTGGTAGTAATAATGATAATAATAATCCTTGCATTCGATATATCATGTCGTTGGGACATCTCAAAGTGTTTCACAGAATATATTATAAAGTGACTGGGCTGTGTATTTTGTGGGTGAAACGCAGCA